ACAAATCATATGAATTGGGCTGTATTTGCATGTTAACAGCCTGAGGCGCATACTTTATGCTTAAGACATGGCTGGGATGCAGCCTCTGATATTTGTTGTCTGTTATTTGCCCAGCCACAAGAATGCTGGTTTAAAAAAAACAGCAGGCACCAGAGGAACTAAAAAAATACTCTTTCGGAAAACAAACAGGACTCCATTTCTACACTGGGGCATGTGCAAGAAAATGACTGCATTTCTATAATATTCATGTTACATACTGATGGTTTTCTAGGTCTGGGTTTGTATTTTTTGAAAGCTAGTCTGCTTATCCTTTCCACCCTGCCCATTCTCTAATCTAAGTGGCTTCGCCTCTTCAGGGTCAGTGAAGGGCTCTCTGCATTCCTTTCTGCTAAGCTTTTGTTTTTCTGGACTCATGGGAGCATGGCTGCACTTTAGTGAAGCCTGACAAAGCTTCGGATCACTGAGCTAATGCAACGTTCATGTGCATGTTCATGTGGCCACCTGAGCTAGTCAGGTGAAGTCTATTGCACAGATACTGATGGTGGGTCAGGAGGCCTGTAGAGGTTGCAGACAGCTCTGACTGGCATTCACTGCTATCCACTGTTGAATGTGGGCCACAGTTAATGCACCATAACAGCACGGCATGCATTTTTTCTAGTACTGGATGTTAAACGGTGATTTTTATCTATCAACTGATAGATAAACTACTGCTGACTCCGGACAAATGTGGCAAGGCCTGCAGCACATCACAGACTACAGGACCACCACAAGCATCATCAGCTCCACAGACAGCCTGCCGGATGACCTCAACACCTTCTACACCCGCTTTGAGACCTCCAACCACAACACAGAGAGGAGGCACACACACACTGAGATCACCCAACCCCCCACCTCCCCTCCACTAACTGTCTCACCAGGCCAAGTATGCAAAGTCCCGAGGAAAATTGACCCCCATAAAGCAGCAGGACCGGACAACATCCCTGGGAGGGCTCTCAGGGCATGTGCCAGCAAGCTGGCTGATGTTCTCGCCACCATCTTCATCCTCTCCCTCACCCAGAGCATCGTTCCCACCTGCTTTAAGACCACAACCATCATCCCCCTTCCTAAGAAGAGCCCGGTCACCTGCCTGATCGACTACAGGCCAGTGGCACTCACTCTAATTATTATGAAGTGTTTTGAGAGAGTGGTGCTGGCCTGCATTCAGAGCAGTATACCGGGCACCCTGGACCTCCTGCAGTATGCCTACCGGCCCAACAGGGCCACCTCAGACGTCACTGCGGCTGCCCTCCACTATTCCCTTTCTCTCCTGGAAAATAGAGAGTCCTACATCAGGATACTCTTCACTGACTACAGTTCCGCCTTCAACACAGTTGTCCCCCACAAACTCACCCACAAACTGTCCACACTG